GGAGAGGTGACCTTATGTAAGAGATGCTTTATGAGGCCCAGCAGTGTGCTTCCCTTTTGTCACCAGTTCCAAATGTTCCAGGAGTGACCCCCGTGTGTGTTACACGTGTCCTGTTGTGGCAGGGTTGCTCTTGCTGTAGGTGCTTAGGGAGGCTGAGCTGTCCCCCTGGCCAGCTGGTTGTAATATTCAGCTGTGTGTGGCAGCTGTGGACCCTTCCTTCCCTGTATCAGGTGTGGGGAGCCCCAGTACTGTTGGCTGCAAGGTGTAATAGCACATTCCTGTTGCAGTTTTTCTAAGTTAGTAGGCCCCCAGCATGGCTGGTTGCTAGGCTCAGGGGCTTACAATTGCTGTAGGCCTCTGGCCTATTAGGCTGTCAGCTCTCTCAGGATTGCAGCTGGGTGGGGCTGGCCCCGGGCAGGAGAGCTCCCAGTTGTTTCAGGCTTTGGAAGGTGGGGCCGATCCCCCATGTGGCTGTTTGAGAAGCACAAGTCTGCTGCAGCTGACAAGCCCCACCACCCGCAGAGCCACACACACTGTCAACACAGTCTTGCCCCGTGCATGTGCCCCAACCCCCTGAAGTGGACCCTGTTGCCCCACGGCAGAGGCCCCACACACTCCACCAATGCCCCACACACTCTACCCACTGCTGTGCATGCCCTGCCCCACAGAGGTGGACCCGTTTGCCCAGCTGCAGAGAATCCAGGCACCTAGCCTATGCAGGCCCACAAGTTGTCTGAGGGCTTGTTGTTGGGTGGGGCCAGTCCCTAGGGTGAGCTGCTTGCCCTGGCTGAGCTGGATTAAATTGGTGCTCTAGTGGGTGGGGCAGACCCTGGGCTGAGAGGCCAGAGGGAGAACTCCAATGGTGTCTGCCAGCGACTGTGTCAGCATGCCTGCACCAGGTCACAACAATGGCTGCCGCCGATGTCTCAGTCCCTGGAGAGGTCTCACCTCTCACCGAGATGCATCCAGGGCCTATCTGGTAAGTCTCTTTTCATCAAAGGACTGTGCACCTTTCTTTCTGGTGATTTCAGGTTGCTTTCCAAAACGGGGGAATTTTTGTGTGGGGCCTTCAAGAGCTGGCTTTTTTTTCCCTTATGTCCAATAGCTTTTCTGGGGTCTTCCGTGTTGTTGTTAATAGCCAGCAAAGCCAGATATTATGACACTTGTCTCAGTTGTGCTGGGTCCAAAAAATGCTTAAAGCAGCAACGCTCCCCCACTCAGATCCCCCACTCCTCCAGGGAAGGCTGTGAAACTTTGGATTGCTCCCGGGCAGCTGTGAAGCGCTACAGCTTGCGAAGGTGGCTTTTTTTCTTTCCAGAAGGGAATTTCTGTCTCTTCCACCTCAGTCAGGACAGTTGCGTGTTGCAGGGGTTCCTCTTATCCAGTTTTCAGTTCTCTCTCAGGGGTAGTTGTTCCAAGAGTAGTTGTAAGTCTGTTGTGTCTGTGGGAGGATGTGAGTTCAGAGACCACCTATGCCACAATCTTGACAGCAATCTGAGAATAATTTTCTTATGTAAGCTAAATATACTCTTAAAATCTTGTTCACATTATTCACATTCTTAGCAAACACTGCTTTAAGAATATCAGAGTTACACTTTTCCCTCAGTCACCAAGAATTAAAATTTGGTGGAATCCAAACTTAATTATGTCTTACAATATAGATAAACTTTTAAAAACTGTTGAGCCTTGGCTATTATTTTAATTTATATGTAGTTTTAGTCTCTCATGTATTCAATTGATGGTTACTTTGTACATGTATTCTGCTAGAAACTAGTATTTTTAAAAGGAATAAAGAATTACAGAGTTTAGTAGAGAGGAAAGCCGTATTACAAAAACTGTAATTCAGTGTATATATCTACAGAGGGACTGAATGAGAAAATACGTAGAGAGTGCCTAGTGCTCGGCAGAGAGTAAAGGAAAAACATTATTAGTATTATTGATAAAATTATTCTTAAGTACAGTGGTTGCTTATAGGGTATCTCTCATCTAACAGTGGGAAAAATTCTAACAGAATCAGCCCAAATTGGCTGTCCATGAATTCCAGCTGTTTCTTCTGCCTTTATGATTTCTCTCTCAATCTCAATCACTCTCTCTCCCTCTTTTCCTCCCTGCCTCTCTCAAAGTTAAAATCTTCTCACACAGGGTGTGATTATTAATATCAATTTGGTAAGGCTTCTAGGTTAACTCCAGAGAATTGAAGTAGGTAATACCTTGAGGCTCCTTTTTGTTATCATATATCTTCCAGAAGGGCCCCTCATTAGTTGGTTTTGCTTGATCTCTATTATAAGAGGTAATAAGTAAACCATTTTCAAAGGAGGTGTGATCAGGTGGTTTTATTCCCTCGCAAACAGAGCTGTCAGTTTCTTTATTAACTGCACTCTCCTCCCGACTCCCTTCCTTGCAGAAGCTGGCGGCCATGATTCCAATCCCCCAAGTCCCTATGAGAATGCCCCTTGTGACCTCATAGTCACACTAAATTTGACCTCATAAAGAGAATATCTCATGGGACCTCCACGTGACCACCATGTTGTAAAAGCTAAGACCACAGACTGAAGGTGTGGAGTATGACTTGGTCTTTCCCTAAATCTGCAAGCAGAAAGGAATGCGAGTGGGTGCACATGAGCCAAATTTGAACTACCACCACACAGAAGTACACGATGGCCATGCAAGGCATGAGACCTAAATTCACAAAAGAGGGAGGTAGAACATTAAACAACAGATTTTCTTTAAGTACGTTAAGTCAGGAGTTAAGCTGAGCATGGTGAAATGTTATGATGTTGCTAAATATTTTGTGGTGTTGATCTGCTAAAAAGTTGGCAAACTTGAAGAGCTGTTTATAGACTACTTAAGGGATATTTTTTCCAAGGGTGACAAAAATGTAAGAGTCTTTCATTTTGTTGAGACTGACTTTTTTTTCCTCTGAAAAATATGATATGTAGCTCTATTTAGAAAGATAGTTTTGGGGTTTTGATTTTTTTTTTCACTTCTGCAAGCTTCACTTAGTTTTCAAAGTGCAGGTGACTCACCTTTTAATCGACTGTTCTGGCTCTTTCTCTTTGACAAAGATGGCTTAGAAGCCAAATACTGAATTTATGTGTCTGGCAAGTAGCGAGGTTTGACTATGCAGCCTCTTCATTTCTTTCTTTTCAGTTTTCTGAATCTTTGCCTATTTTTTTGTTTTGGTCTTGATGTTTTAATTATAAAATTAATATATGTAGTTTTCCGTTTTAATGCCTATTTCTTCCAAGATAGATTTTATTATTTAAAATATTATTGTTTTTCTTATCCATTTCTTCTTATGGCACTTCTGTACATTTTTGGACTTTTATATGACTGTTACATCTTTGAACAACCTAACCATAATTAATATAAAGTTATTATTAGAGGGCTCGTAAAATTAATTTCTTCTCAAGTGAACTGACATTCTGATTGTTGATTTGCTCAACTATCATTTTTGGCATTTTTTGTGTGTATACTTTGGAATTTTAGTAAGCTGGCTCATTTTAACAAGATTTTTTTAATCTGTTTTTTTCTCTTTCTCCTTCCATTTTGCAGTTGCCTAAATCCATCCTCTTTCGCCCCCCACATTGGTGTTTAGAGCTCTAGTCGCATGGTGATGCTGGAATATTGTAGACGGAGGGTGGCTTGGTTTAGTTCTTGGTTCTGAGGCTACATCAGTGTCCTCTCTCACTGTGCAGAACCTCCTTTCAGGGGTGAGAGATCCTCACACCAGTGCTGGCTTCAGGACTGAGCCTGACGTGGGCTCTTGTCTTACAGAGCACTCAGAGTCTCACTTGCTTTCCAGGAGTTGAGCTCCCACTGCCCCTGCCATCTTTGGACACAGAACCAAGAGTCAGCTCTGCCAACTTGTTCACAGTTCTGTTCAACTTTTTGTTTCGAAATCTGTCAACTATGCATCTTTCTTTTTCCTTCTTTCTTTCCTCTTTTCTTTCTTTCTATGCATTTTTTTTTTTCTTGCAAACAACAGCAATGCGATTGTGGCATGATTTTGGAGGCAAGGGGGAACATAAAAGCATGAACTGTTATCATCTTGATTGAGAGTAAAAATTTACTTCTTAAAAGTAATTCCCCACATTTCCAAAATGCCGACACGCTCCTTGTGGTTGGAATCATATACAATATTGAAACGGTATTATATCTTAGTATTCTCCTATTAGATTTTATTTTTCTTTTTTGTTTAAATATTAAGATATGGAATATACCTTTTTGTGCACATACATTTATTGACTTATCCACAAATATTTGCAGAGGGCACGCTATGTGCCGGGCGCTGTTCTAGGTGATAGGAATACAGTAGTGAATAAAGCAAATTTCCTGCTCTGATGGAGCTTCCATTCTACTAGGGAGAGCGAGGTAATATGCAAACAGGTCAGTGTGTAATATTACGGGTACTATTAAGATGGCATGGAATCAGAGGCATCCCCAAACCCAGGAGTAAGCACCAGATAGAGCCAGAAAGAACTCAAAAAGAAGCCCTCTCTTTCATTGATCACTAAGCCTCCTCTATTTGATGTGTATAAGAATCTCTTATAAATTGATAAAGAAAGTGGTCACAGTAACTAGATATTTTCAAGAGAAAATCAAATGTAAAATAAATATATGAAAAAAATGTTTAACCCAACTAGTAATTTACAAATAGCAACAATGAGCTCCTTTTTCTTATCGCTCCCTCTCGTCAATTTGACAGAGGCTTGTGAAGATAGTATTCAATTCTGACAAGGGTTTCCTGAAACAGTTTTGTTTTTTTGTGTGTGTGTGGTGGTGGTGATTTTCAAAATATATAGTTTTAAAAATTGGAAGGAAAAGGTTAGCAGTGATATCTCTGATTCTTATTTTTTTCTTTATAATTTTCTGTATTTTCTACAGTTATAATGTGTTGATTTTACAGTCAGGAAAACATACTGTACAGCCATGTAGACCATTTTGGAAGGCACGTGTTAACCTACCAGATGACACTTTCCTTTGGTATTGACGTGCAGGTATTCCCTCTGGCACATGTGTGCAATGACACAAATAAGATGACGTTAATTAACCCCCAGGGAGTCAAGCTCAATATCTACAAGCAAAAAGTCGAACAGGCAATTAAGTCCTATGAAAGGTGAGTATTAGTCCTGGCTGCCCTTTAAATGTTGTGGAATTTGTTTGTTTTGACTTCTCTTCTCTTGTTTTAGCTTAGATTTTTCATCTGGAGCAGCTATTTAAAAATTTTCCATAAGGAATAACAGCAGTAGCAGCAGCTAACATAAGGGGCTTCCTATGTGCCAGGCACTGCATTGAGTACATCACCTGAATGTGTCCAACGGAGTTTTAAAGACACCATCTTCCCTTTCCAAAATCTGTAGAAATCTCACGTTTCCATGAGATCTTTAAAGCTTTCCTTTTAGCAGAATGAATTTGATCATTTCAGCCTCTAACATTCTGCAAAGTGGCTAATAAAACTCCACAATAATGAGAGAACAGAGATAATATAAGTGTATGTTATTATTTACATAATTTTTATTCAAGGTAAAGATGATGATCAAGTTGACTACACTGAAAATTGTTCTTAAATAGTCACTGTGTTAGTGGTGAGACGGGGGCCTCTTTTCACGAGGGCAGCTAACCCAGTCTCACTCTTGTCCTGGCTCCCTAATCGCCTCCCTGCCCCACCGCTCAGCACTTAATTAGTCCTTGGTGCATAGCACTTAATTAAACTTTGAACCTGCCCAGTTTCTCCAGGCAAGCCTATGCTTGGTTCTGGAAGCTGTGCCATTGGGTTTCCATTCACTACCATGTGGGTGGGAAAAATGAAATAAAGTACACGAAAGTTAATGAGGCCCCGGCCAACATTTACTGGCCTGTTGTCATTTTGCAGTGTGTCCAGTGTGTGTTCAAAAGAAGCATAAGGCCCGACTCCTGCCACATGGAGCGCACAATCCAGTCCAGAGGCTGGCCTTTCCACACCACGCCCATAACAGGCCTCCCCAAATCTTATTCTTGAGCCTCTGCCACTGCCCTCACCTAAGAATTGAGGCTGTCTTGTCTGAGCCTCTTGGGCTGCCGCCGTGGGCTCCTCAGGATTTCTCTGAGTCTTTGTCTGCCCTTCATTTCCCCCACGGGCAGCCTGACTACGCCAGCGCTCACCCCTCCCGTGGGTCTGAGACTTGGCTCTGTAGTTACCCTGTCACGTGGCGCTGCCCCTCTTGTCTGCGTCTGTGCCAGGCAGGCCTTCCCTTGCCCCCCAGCTCTGCTGCCCGTCCTCCTGCCCCAGTTGGCTCTTCTAGGACTTCTTGCCTCAGCGCCAACGGCCCTCCTCAGAGAGGCCTTTCCCCAGTGACTCTGCCACCCGAAGGGCGCTCGCAGCTTCTGCACAGGCCTGTCTCTCCCCTGCGAGGATGGCAGCCCCCTGGTGGTCTCTTCCTAGCAGGTGTTCGTCTATGTATATTGGACTATTGGAATTTAATTTGAATTTGATCTCATTCAAGTTCGGATATTAAAATTCATCAGATTTAGTTATTCAAAAGGTAATAGAATAATATCATTCATATTATAAGTTTATTTGCTTGCATCAGTCAAATATTTGACTTCTGTAATTACCTGGTCTGTGAAAGCCTGGTGCGGGCCATACACTAGGGCTTTGAGGTGAGACAGTTCTGGGTCTCATTCTTGGCTCTCACATCTGCTTGGCAGGTCAAGTGGCAATTGTGAGCTTCAGACTCCTATTTACAAAATCTGTCTCATAGGGGGGTTGTGAGGGTTGTGTAAATTATATATAAAGAACAGTTAATGTTAGTTACTGCCCCCTTTCATTCCCTGAATCTGCTGATCCTAAAATAACCATAAATATATGGAGTGTAATAGTCGCACAGCTCTTCCCATGGTGTTGACCCTTTCCCAGGGGTTTCCAGAAGGACAGGGACCCTCCCTTCCCAGGCAGACGAGAGTCCTTCTTCCTTAATAGCAAAACCAAAATACAGACATAGTAGTGATTTGTCCCCATTTCTGGAAAAGCTTTTTAGTACCCTGAGAGAAATATTGTAGTACATTGTTATTACTAATACTAATATTTATTTTAATATGATTAACAACATTAATTTTAATATGATTAATACTATTTAATACTAATTATTGAATTAGTATTAATTATTTGGTATTGTTAATTTGATGTTTATATTAAATGAATTATTTATTTAATATTGCTATATATATATAAAGGTATTTATATACCTTTACTATATTAAGGTATAATATTAATATTATACAAATAAAACTTCCTGATCTTTTGTATTCAATAGTATTTAAGAATTTTTTTGGTATAAATGTCAGTTCCCTTTTCCATCTTGCTCCACGTTTCTAAAGATACACAAAATATGAAAAGCAGTTAATCAAACTTGGTTTACTTCCCCCTCGTCCCCAATATAACATTTCTAAGGAGTTTCCCACCACAGGTAAGCCAGGTATAACCCTAAATCCATATGGCTAGGGTTGACCAGGTGAGTGGGAAGCTCACAGTCCTTTGGCCAAAATAGTGACATAAACTAGCTATTTTGGTCGGGCTCAGTGCCCATGTGTGAGTGTCCCTCTGTTTCAATATTTCAAGAATTGAGGCAGAGATTTTGGCTTTGTGTGTCTGAGCATAAGCTTTGAGTGAGGATTTCTGGGGCTGGCTGGATTCTGGGGTGATTTTTCTGCAGCCTATTTGATTGTGAATCTAGGGTCAAGGTTGCAGCCCTCAGATCCACAGGAGAAGCATCAGTTCTAACCTGGCTCTGGGACTACGCTTAGAAGCCTCTAATTATGACCTCCAAAATGCTGATTAGACTTGTGATGTGTCGTTAGTTACAAGTTGCTTTGCAAATGAGTCACTGCTTGGTACAAGTGGATTTGCAACCTAGAGATAGAGAAAGCTAGTGAATGCAACCGCTCAACCCAATTTCACTCTCCTAAAAAGACAAGGAGGAAAACTGGTTAGTAAAATCCCTGAATCGAGGGGCTGGACCAGCCTCAGAGAGGCCTTCATGTCCAGTGCCCTCCCAGCACTGACGGCCCTCATCCCACACTCTTGTGGCTTCCCCACGGTGGCCTCCGCAATCAACAGAACCGGGATCCACACACTCTCGGCTGCCCTCAGTTCACACCCACCCATTTTTTCTTCCCTGTGTGTTTTCAAATATTTTGGTGAAGATGGAAAATAAGGGAATAACAGAGGTTATGAAAATGTGCTCTTGCAAAATATTTTCAAAAGGATTGAATTAAAATTAGAGACATGTGCTAGCTAATTGGAGCCACACTCACCAGTGGTTTCTCAGAGTTTCCAAGCCTCGCCCTTCCTCAAAACCTGGAGGGAACGAACATCGCTGTTCCTGCTCACTTTATGTATACATCTCACTGACTTCTCTCCACACCAACGGCGGCTGGTGTTATCCTGGTTTTATTGATGAGAAAACAGTTTCAAGAAGTTAGGAAAAACAGGATAACATGGCAGCAAAGTGGAGACACTGAGATTTGACCCTGGACCCATATAGCCCAAAGCCCTTGTCCACACTCCCAGTCTTCCTACTGCGCTGCCTCCACTTTCTTTTTTTTGTGTGTGAGGAAGATCAGCCCTGAGCTAACATCCGTGCTAATCCTCCTCTTTTTGCTGAGGAAGACCGGCTCTGAGCTAACGTCTATTGCCAAT